CATGTTATATTTTATGTATGGAGATTGCTCTTTAGAATTCTGAGCTTTAAAATGACAACGTAGTCCTTCTGAGCAAGAATAAAATAAGCTATGGTGAAGTTATTGCTTGACTGCTTTCTAATGTAAAAACCTCTCTAGACTTCATACATTTTACAAATATGTTTGTTTGGTGTATTCGTCTGATTATTTTCAAGATTTCTTTGGTGATAATCCCACAGCCAGGCATTACGCCCAGCGCAACTCCATAAAACTGGATGGTAGTCATCGAAGTTCTGGGGAACAAGTCCAATCAAGTTCTGACCTTTTTCCAGCCTTTACCAACTGCTAACATTTTGTTTCATCCATTTGCTCAAATCTCATCTACCACAACATCGCCTATTAAATCAAGCGTCGAGACGTCTGTGATCTAGTAGGCTCTTGCTCTAAGGATGGCGACTGAAAAAGACCTTGTCAAACTTCAACTGTCATCCGTCATCTACGCCCGGTCGCTCAACACCTCATTGTAGTACCTGGCTTTATAGGTAATATGAGAAGCCGTTCTAAGGATGAAGTACGACCGTGTCGTTGGGAAATAAGATTTTAATGTAGGTTACTTCTCAATACATTTCTGCTGCCTTTTCAGCATTCATTTTCTTGAAAGAATGCNGGCTCTTGCTCTAAGAATGGCGACTGAAAAAAGCCTTGTCAATCTTCAGATGTCATCCGTCATCTACGCCCGGTCGCTCAACACCTCATTGTAGTACCTGGCTTTATAGGTAATATGAAAAGCCGTTCTAAGGATGAAATACGGCCGTGTCGTCGGGAAATAAGATTTTTATGTATGTTACTTCTCAATACTTGTCTGCTGCCTTTTCAGCATTCATTTACTTGAAAGAATGCTTCGGAGGGCATGGCGTGCTGGTGGCATTATTGCCATAGCAGGAGGCTCTTTTCTACTTGGAGCACGATATGGAAACGAATGCCCATTGAGGAGCGCACAGGCTGCCACTGCAGTATCAGTAAGTCAGTTTTCTGACGTGCTCTGCTTGATATCTTTCAATGATAGTGACCCTCTTCTGAATCTTGGAAGAGAGGATGAAACTTAGAAGGAAAATCTTCCCTAAATCCATACTGCATTCCCATTACAGTATCTAAGGCGGCGCGTGAAAAGTAATACTGCTCATTTAAGCCTGTTCCCACTTTGCCACCGCTGCAGTTGGAACC